TTTCTGTTCAGAATGTGGACGTTTGTCTTGCCATCCTGTCTCTTATACACATCTAGATGTGTATAAGAGACAGCACACACACACACACACACACACACACACATGCATTCGTCAGACTTGCGATAACCAAATTTAAAGCTTTTGTTTGCCATAGCCAAATTTGAAGAATGCATTCGGACTAGACTCGTCCGCATGACATGATGAGTGATTCAGACTATTGGATGTGGAAACAATGCAATCAGATGTGGAAACAAGTAGATTGCCGATGGACATTATGACAGCAATGCATTGATGTCGGAGTACTACTCCTCTTCCTTCCTCTTCCGCTCGCTCCTCAACCCCCCCCCTCCTTTCCCCTCTTCTCTTCCCCCTTTTCTCCCGCTCTCCCTCTCGTCCTGCTCACCTTCCCCTAGCTATATCGCCGTTGATAATCAACTTTCCTAATATAGCTATCTGTGTGACTTAGCCATATCGTCATTCCCTTCCATAACATGCTCTCTAAGTTCTTATCTATTTTGACTTTAATATCTCATGATGGTTACTTTTTCCCTTTCTCTTTTTTCTTTTTTTTTCTTCTTTTTTAATCTAGTTTCCTAGATGATGTACATTTGTATTGAACCCTGTTTTCGACAGCATGCACTCCAAAATATCTGCTAATTTACTTCCCTGCTCGATCCACTCACAATTCCCGTCTTCACCCGAATAGAACGCCCTGTCTTTAGACTCAAATTTGCACCAAAAATACAACCATAATGACCGGGCATTCTATTCGGGCGGCGGCGGCAGTCTACAAAAGTTGTACCCTTCAACCAATCGGTTGCCCTCCCGCTCCCGCACAATCCTGTTCACCCACCGCTCCCGCGCAATCCTGTTCACCTTCCGCTCCCGAATCCCGCGCAATCTTGTTCACTCACTCACTCCTTAGCTCCAGCGCATAGGGGCTCTTTCCACTACGCTTCAGAAAAATGAAAAATGAAAAATCTCAAGGGCAGCCCTACACCCGCACTAGAAAGGGGCCATGTCCTACTAGTAGATAGATGGTGTTCTTCATTTGTGGCCATGGCCATGGATCTGTGTATTCCCGCCGCAGTCGGCGGTCAAGAATAAAGAACTCACGCCAGTGGGACCTGTCCCCGGGGGCAAGGTCCCACTTGCGCAAATTAGGAGATATCGGCCGTTGATCTTTGCTACCTACGGTCAGTATCTCTTAATTCGTGCAAGTCGGACCTGTCCCCGGATCGGGGTTAAAAAATTCCAGACTACGGTTTGGTTCCACTACACCCTACACTCCGCCCCTACAATAGGCATTTTTGGCCGGAATGGGGACAAGGACAACCGCAGAAGAAGTAAAAAACACCTAACAAGGCATATGACCGAGTAAATTGGTCATATGTCCTTACCACTCTAACGGTCATGCATTTTGGCAAGAATTTTTCGACATGGGTCATCGCCCTATATACTCTCTCCACTGCAGCAGTGATGATCAATGGACGGTTGTCTGACGCATTCTCTTCGCCAGGTTTGCCCCCTGGCCCCCTTGCTATTCGCCCTCCAAATGGAAGGAATCCTCAATAACATTAGGGCTCATGCACAGATTACCGGCCTCCAAGCTGGACCCACGCAATGCACTGTCAAAGCACTGGGCGATGACCTGTTTGCTGTTGTCCAAAACTCCAGCTCAGCTATGGGCGTTCTTAAGGAGTGCCTGGATGAATATGCACTCCTGTCTGAAGCTGCTATCAATTGGCATAAGTCTGTATATATCCTTCCTTCCCAATTCTCTCTCATAATCGAATGGGGAATAAAGAGAGTAAGAGATGATGAGAATGAAAGATTTCTGGGAGTTCAAATTGCTCTATCCAATTGCACACAGGCGCAAGACTCTCTGCTTTTGCACTGCTTTTGCAGAAAGTTACCTCGTGGGGTGCGGCATACCACTTATCCATATACGGAAGAGCTATGGTGGTAAATGGGGCACTATTCGCTGTATTATGGTTTGTTGGTAGGGTACGTGAACTTGGCCCACAACTGTACACGATCACAAAACGGAAAGCAGCCAAGTTCATTTGGAAACCACTTGCTAAGGAAGGTGAGTCCTTCATATCGAAGGTAGTCTGGGATTTGTTGTGTACTCCCCGTACTGAGGGAGGGATGGTGATCCTGGACCCCCGCCGTCAGAATTCCGCAATGTTGTGTCAATGGATTACACGAGTCAGTCAGGCCTATCAAGCTCCTCATTGGGTGCACCTTGCCGAACAAATTATAGCAAAAGAGTGGAATCTGTACCGCACGACAAATGTCTGGACCTGCCTAATGCTTCACTCATACCAACGTAGGCACATAAAATTTGTTTTCTGGGCCCCAATAATTGTTGCCTGGAAAAAGATCCGTCAAAACGTTTGGATTGAACCTTCTTCGAAAGCAGAAGTTCTCGTTCGGCATTTGTTTGAAAACACTCATATCAGAGATGAATCCGGCAATTGGTTTTCTGCAAACTCTGCCAACTTCAGCTTTGGCCATTCGTAGATCGAAAGGGGAATTCTGAGGATCCAAGATTTGTGGGATCCCATTCTGGGTACATGGAAGCCCTTATCAGAATCACAGAACCAACTGGGACAACTGAGAAGAATCGAGGAAAAAAGAAAGGCGTTTATCAATGCCATTACACAGAAATGGAAAGATTTTCTGGCCCCTGAAGGAGTTGATCCACCAGGTACTTGGTCCTCTGGTGATCCAACCCTCTCAGAAGGATTCTGGAAACTTCTATCCATCGATGAGGAAGGGAAAGGGAATTTGAACATTGGCTTGAACTCAATGATTGGCTGCAAATTGAAAAAGAAAACCATCAACCCACGGTAGGCACCCAACTTCAACAGGTAAGAGTACTGGACTTCATTACGTCCGAAAGTACCCCCCGATACCAACTTCAGGCAAAAGGAACAACAATTCTTAGCCTGAGATTGTATCATGCGTTGTGGGAATGGACAGTGAAAGGCAAAAGAGGCATGAATCCCTCAATCGCTGACTACTCCATCAAGATAGATTACGTGGTCTTATCTCCTCCGAGAAGTCCACAGGTAACAACAAGAGCCAGATGGCTCCAATTAATGGACACACCAGCTCAGGAAATTGATAAAGTCCTGACAGTTTGCTGGTCCCAGCTGAAACTGCTGACTAATCAACGCCATGCCTCTCTGCTATGGTTGGTTTCCCTCGTGGCAACCCCCTCAGCAGTTTGGCTGGTCGAACGAGGGATGGCTCTGAATCTTACTTGCCCTCGGTGTAAGTGGGCATTCGAATCAACAGTCCACCTATGATGGGACTGCCCGAATTCAACTCGCATCTGGAAATGGTGGCAGAAACATTGGATCCGCATCTCTGGACCAGCGTTCGAATGGACAAAAGAATGGTCCTTACTGGGCGGGATCCCGATGGGAGCTCAGTAAACCAAAGGTTGGGGCTACATAGCCCAAACAGCTCGTGTTGTTTGCTTCAGTGTCATATGGCATGAAAGGAATCAACGTGCCTTCCAGGACACAGAGCTCACCAATCGCCAAATCAGGCGTTCATTTAAGTCTCAATTCCGACAAGCCATTGAGGCGGATTGGCGAAGGAAAGTACTTATGCCACAAAATCCTCAATCAGGCATCACATGGTTCAATCAGACGTGGGCAGTGAACTCGATTCGTCGGGACTAGTACTTTGTCGATTCGGTGGTGACGGCCCAACCTCTGAGATTTGAGTCTTCGGACTCAGGTGAGGGGAAGGAGTATCCACATACCACTTCGTAGAGGGTTAGACGCGTGAGGGCACAGAGTGGGCAAACCCTTGCCGAGTCCTGGGCGACGTGGGGACTGGTTTAAACCACCAGTACCTTCCGAGCCACCTTCTCGAACCTTTTTCTGGCAAGCTGCCGAACCTGTCTGTCTCGGGTGAAAGTAGCTGGTGAGCAGTCGAGATATAGAAGGCAACCGGTCCTTCAATGCGGGGGACTGATACTTCTAGGGTGGTGGTTTCCCTTTTTTTCCCTTTGTCTTTTTTTTCTTTTTTTTTTCCCCTGCACGTTCTCTCTTTTCCCCATTGGACGACCAATGCTGCCAAAGGAGCCCTCAGCGCCGTGGGTGTCGGGCTGCCAATAGATAAGGATGCGCAGGGCCTTGTTAATATTCTCTGTACCTTTCCACGGACTGATAGAAGATTCATACTTATTGGGACTGAAGTGCAGCACGTCCCCTGACAGATCGCGGAGGACGAGGGGCCTTGTTGTACCAAGCACCAGATGCACAAACGACAAAAACTGTTGATGTTCTTTTATTTATTTTTTATGATCATTTATCTATTTATGCGTTTCATAGTTGTTCCAAGGCCATGCTAACCTTCTCTGTATCTTCCGCGAAATAGGTCAAGATTCATTCCCGTTGTCTACAAGGGGACAACAGTGCTCCAGGCAAATCGTGGAGACAAGGGGCCTCACTATACCAAGTACCACAAGCACAAATGACAAAAAACGTTGAATCTTTTTTTTTTCTCTTCTGACCATTTCTCTATTTATGCGTTTCAAGGTCATGCTAACCTTCGCTGTATCTTCCACAAAACATGTCAAAATTCATTCTCGTTGTCCACAAAGGAACAACAGTGTTGTCACTCAGCTCACCACATGCACAAACAACAAAAAATGTGTCGCCGTATCTTTCCATTCTTTTTTTTTTTTTTTTTTAGCATGAGCCTCAGTCCACTACTCTCAAATGTACAAAACGAGAGTGAATCTTTTCCTAGAACATGGAAAAATACACCGCCATGATTTTTGTCTTGTCGAGAGTAGGGGAGCGAGCCCCCATTTCTCGACTTAGGTGTGTAAGTGTCGGGTGGTCACAGTTCCGAACTTGACGCCGCCATCCGTGCCTTGCTGAAAGACGGTTCGTTTTTCTTTTCTTCTTTTCCTTTTTTTTTTTTTTTTTTTTTTTTTTTGCCATTTTTTTTTTTTTTTGTTCTGGTCGTTCGTTTCTGTTTTCAAAATGGTAGAGCCCCAGCGCCTATCCTAGGCTCTACAAAGCGGCCGCCAGGCCAGCCTAAACCTTCTATGAATTAAGGAGATCGTTTTTTTTTGCTTAGGCGGGGTACTGGTGGTTTAATATCCTTGTGGTTGGTCACCTTATGTGCCACTGTTAAAATAAAAAGTTGGAGACAAAAAAAAAATTCAGCTCGCAAGAAGGAGTAGATAATAAAAATGGTAGTTCTTTTTGCGCAGTGAAAGAATTGCGATTTCGTTTTGAGTAACTTGATGATGAAGATGGATACTTCATCATTCGAGGAACGAAAAAAATACTTATTGCCTAGGAGGACAAAGCGACCAACAAAGATTTTTTTTGCTAGATAATACTTTTCTTCAAGGAAACTGCATATGATACGGAAGTGTGGTCGAACCGAGAGTTTAAACTTCGATCAGGAGCCAAATTACGTGTTGATCTGCATGGTAACAGTGAAATTTACTAGCAAAAGTCATTCCTGGCAGGGTTTAGTAGGGGTATCGATGGACCAACCCATAAGTCAAATATTAGGTTGTCTATTCTTAAATTTTTGTCAATAAGCGAACTTCCGTCGCGGAAGCGGCGATATAAAATTATTTTTCGTCATACAGGCTGAAAACAATAACTTTGGCAGATCATCTCATCAAGTCAAAATACTATCTTGTGCGATTTGATAAAAGTGTATTGATTTTATTTATTTTGTGATCATATAATTATAAAGGGACTATGACTATTTTATGGGTTTCAAGTTTGGTTGAGACCGTCCTAGTGGACTGACGTTCGAGTCGTACCTAGGAGATCAGCGCACTAGGGAACGAACAACGTTCGGGTTCACTTGACGTTTAACCAGGCGTACCTATACTCCAGCGAACGAGCAAACGCCCTCGACTGGCGTACCTCTGCAATTGCATGTATAAACTCTCGCATGTGGGTCAGTAGGTCGGTAGGGATACACCCCTGAGGGTGGTGACAACCCCTTAGGGAGGGCAAGATGTGTCCCGCAAAAACCTATCCTGTTGTACGGGACTGTGGGATGTACAACTGGCGCACCCAGCTAGAGCGGCGAAGGAGCGATGCAACTGCGTCCGTCTCGGCGGTTCGCGAGATTATTTTTGCGTCGTTTCCAAGTTGTCTCTTGATTTTGATTTTGTTTTGTTTAAACTCCTGCGTGACATAGCCGGGAGGCCGATGCACGCGACAACGCTCGCTAAGGAAAATTGCAGAAAACAAAGGAACAAGATTAGTCGGCGTGTCCCATCCATTAGGGCCCATCAAGGACAAGCCCTGCGAACAATGAAGCTCTCGAAAACCCAAAATTACAACCCCGTGTCGATCGAGACACCCTGAACCCCGACATCACCATCCACAGGGGTAGAGGGACTGGAACTGGATTACATAGACATGGTTACCTAAGGAGAAGCATCCCAAAGAGGAACAGGCTCAGGAGCTCGTGCATGCACATAAGCTGGTACATCACATGGTTGGGTAGGAGAGTGTCTGTCTGGCCAATCAAAAAGGAACATGGGATTCCTCTCAGTCGTACTGGGCCCGGTCCAGACCGTTTGTTAGGTCTCTGAATTACAAGATCGGGGTAGGCTAGGAATAGTCAAGGGGAAGTAGGGTGCGGAGCTACCACCCGGGGCTAGGTCCCACTGGCACGAATTAAGAGATACGGACCGTAGATACCAAAGATCGACGACCGAAATCTTCTAATCGGCCTAAGTGGGACCTTGCCCCCGGTAGGACAGGGGATTATAATACCTAGTTTAGCAGTTACTCGGGTTGGGAGGTATTGGCATTTGGAACTGAGACACATACGCGGAACTGGCTAATGCTGCTAGGGTAGGATAACTCTGGCCTTGGAAAAAAAGAAAAAAGGGAGAAAAAAGACCCGCCGCGCACGCCGCCCTGTCCTCGGACTGCCAAAGGCACCACTTCACGTCGGCCTCGTCGCACCCCGAACGACGCCGCCCCTGCCTCGCTTCGCCTCCCTCGGCCCCGCCCTCCCTTGGCTGCGCTACCGCACCCTGCGAGGTTTATCAATCGAGCCGAGCGATTCCCATTTTTTTTTGCTCATGACTGTGGACATCGTTTTGCTCGTGACTGTGAGACATTTGTTTAGGTGGAATCAAAAAGGTAAAGGCGGGTGCGGGCGGGTAGGAAGGGGGATCATTTTAGGAAAAAAAAGAAGGTATAAATGGAACGGGGATGGTGCATTGGCGTCCCAAAACAGCGGCCAGTCTCCTTCAGGTAATTTCGTAATTGATGTCTCCTCTGGTTTTCTACCTAGTTGCCTTTTTCATTCGCCCCGTCTGCATCTGCCATCCTCGTTCGGTGACATTTCCATCCCCAACTCGCTCGTGGTTCTGCCACGTGGCCACGTGCCGCATCAGCGGTAGTAGATGCATCTGACTCTGCTTGTTCGCACGTCGCGGGTCTTCGCCTTCCATCGTCGGAGTTGAAGGCCGATCTCAGCGAGGTAATCAATTTCTCAAGCAAGATCTCTTTCGCGCACGAGTGATTCTCCGCGGGTCGAAGAGAGTCTACTTCCCGTCCGTGTATCTCTCTGCCATCACGTTTTCCCATCTGTTCATCTGTTAATGGATCTTTTTTCTTGCCGGAGTGACGGCCCTTCTGAGCGCTGATGATACTTCTTAATCTTCTTGAAGTGGCCTGCCTACCCCTACATTGTCAAGCATTTCGCGATCTTTCCCCGTCTGCAGCTGTCGGACGGAAAAGTCATATTTCCTGTTCATACATTGGTCCATCCCTTTACTCTCTTGTTCCAGTCTTCTTACAGTATCTACCCAGGCGCCGTATTTCTTCGAGTGGTTCCTCTCGTTTCTGCTCGACAAGTCGGCTGCCGGTGGAGAGAGAGAGAGAGAGAGCGAAGAAAGTAGTAGAGGCGTAAAGGCGGGGTAACAGTGGCTTCGTGAAAGAGGAAGGGTGCATGTCGTGAGAGGAAGGGTGATTTTACCTTGTGCAATTTGGCGACGCGAGTGTGGACTGGTCTTATTAGACGTACGTATGCTATGCGTGGAATGGTTTGGGGAGCGCTTGGCCGAGTCGTGGAGAACCCTAACGATACACGATAACGATATACGATGGCATGTCGCGATACCGGAGAAGAGCAGTGTCGTGACACGTGGCGCTGCTGTGACGCCATCCCGAAGAATCTGCGAATTGTAAAGTCGGGATCTTCTCCAGGCCGGTGCCGCGACGAGCAGATTCTAAATTACCGGTCGTTGTTAAGAGCGTCCTCCCCGACCGTTCTTTTGTCGTCTGCCAGACGACGAAGCAGAAGGTTCCTTGCTTCCCCTCGCGGCGAGAGCAGGGTTGAAGGCGCTTTCGTTTCTCCCGTGGCAGGAACAGGAAGCAGCAGTGGGTGCGGGAGCAGAGGAATTCAAGGAAACAGAAGGCGGCCAGGAGCAGCAGTAGTGGAGGAGACACACCTCCGCCAGCGGGGAAGAAAAGCAGCCTTAGTTGTTGTAGTTGTAGCAGGAGGAGGAGGAGGAGGATCAATCGTAGTCGCCACGCGATCCTCGCGGCATTGTCACCTGTCAGCCGCCAACATCCGCCGGTCGGCGCGCAAGGTTCTTGCGGCGGGCCACGACATTGAACTAGCAGCGTGGTTCGACGCGGGGTGTTTTGCAGATATTGGGTGGCACGATGAGACTCTTGGGACCTGCGCACGGCGATGGCATGGGGCCTGTGATTCTTGCCATCCTGTCGGCTTCGTTGCTATGCACAGCCGGGGTTTTCGGCATATGGTGGCACCTCGGGGATGACCGCAACTTCTGTACGATGACGTACATGTACCCTAAGTATATCCAGATCGATGCGACGGTCAACTCTTCCCAAGGCAGTGGCGGGAACTCAGGGTCGTCATTTTCGTCGTCCCGCTTTTCGCCCTCGTTCCGGGCGTCCGCCCGCCGCCTTTTCCCCTCCTCTCGAAAATCTTCCGCCGCTGTGCTCTCCCATTACAGGTTGTATTACTACCACGAGGGCTGGAGAACGGTCAATGAGAACGTGCTCTTGAGGCGCTTGCATGGAGTGCCTGTGCTCTTCATTCCCGGGAACGGCGGCAGCTACAGGCAGGTGCGATCCATCGGCAAGGAATCTCACTCTGTGTTCACCGAGAATGTGCGCGATGAGCCGTTCTTCACTCGCAGCACGCGCAGCCGCTCGGACGTGGAATGGCCGCCCAACTCTCCCTCGGGAAACCCTTTCTTGTCGAGATACAGGAATTCGTTGGATTGGTTCATGGTCGATTTCGGCGAGGAACTGTCGGCGTTTGACACGTGGATCTTGGAGAAGCAGACGGAGTTCGTTGCGCGCTCTGTCGATGTGATTCTCTCCTTGTATGGCAAGACCCCGGAATCCAATGCGCAAATGATGAGGGCGCGGGTACAGAAGCCGGAGACGGTGATTTTGGTGGGCCATTCCATGGGTGGCGTCGTCGCGCGCGCGGCTGTGATTCATCCTGCTTTGCGGGAAGGCACAATTCAAACCATCGTCGCGCTCTCCTCACCGTTGCGCGCCGCACCCCTAGCTGCTCAGCCTTCCTTAGGAAGGTTCTACTTACAGATGAACGACCTCTGGCGCCGCGGCGTTGATCCATCCTCCTCCTCCTCCTCCTCCTCCTCGTCGTCGTCTTCGGCTCCTCTGGCGAACGTTGCCGTCGTGTCCATAGCCGGTGGGTATCGCGACAGTCAGGTCCGGTCCCGACTTGCCAGCTTGGATGGCATTGTCCCTCCCTCCAATGGACTGAGTCTTTTCTCCGAGAATGTGCCCAACGTTTGGCTCTCAACCGATCACCAGGCCATTCTGTGGTGCAATCAGTTCATCGTGCAATTAGCGAAGACGCTGATGCAGCTTGTGGATCCGACCACCGGGCAGGAAATATCTTCTTTGGAGGACAGGATGAGCATTCTGGAAGCGAATCTCCGCAGTCCCCTGCCTTCGATCCTCGGAAGATCGGTGGATGTTTTGTCACTTTGGCGAGGCGGTCCTGAACAAGACGACGGCGACGAGCAACAGCAGGCGGAAAGAAGAGGCAAAACCTCATCGTCCACTTCTTCCTCCTTTCTTTCGTCCGGGAACCGCTCTTCTTCTCTCTCTACTACCGCCGATTCCCGCGGCGAGGGAAGAACTCTTCTTCAAGTGCGGGACGAAGACGGCGGCAAGGGCGGTACTCGATCGGAGGCTGGTCACAGCGGTGGCGGCGAGGAAGTATCGTCAGCAACAGGAAACGACGTACGCCCCTCCGCCGCCTCTGGTTCGCACCACTTATCGCGACTGCTGCATAGTAAAGGAGGACAAGAAGTGGGAGAGAGCGTTGCTGACGGCGCCAGAGTGGCATCGGATAGATCGGCAGTAGCAGTGGGGAGAGGAAGGAGTACTTCGATGATGGGATGCGGCGGCTCCCGGCGACTGGAGGCACTTAGAGAGCAAGTGAGGGAGGGCGACGATCAGCGGCGGAAAGTGGCGGAGGCAGTGGGAGAGCTGCGCAACGTTGCGGAAGGTGGTGAGGAGCCGCGTCACGGGGACGGAGGGGGAGGTGCGGTTGCTCAGGACAGCATCACCGAGAGCAAGAACTTTTCCTCGCTGTCTGCTGTCAACGTGAAGGGTGGGCCCTCGTCGTTGTTGGCGGCCGCCGATGCACAGTCGCTGTTCGCCTGCCCGCCTTCGGTGAAATGGAAGGTCGATGCAACGAAGCCGGACTTGTTTGTGGAGGGTGTGGCGACCATGACTGTGCTGGCGGGCGATGGGAGAAGGAGGTGGATGGACATACAAGCAATGCGCGAGCAGGGCAGAGATCATTTCGCGCTGGTGACGAATCTTGCGCCTTGCGGCGGGATTCGCGTCCACTTGTGGGAGAGAAACAGGTCGACGACTGCGGAGTCGCGATCGGGATCGGTGTCGGAAAGGGGATTGGCGGGGGAGGAAGCCCCCACCGAGAGCGCGGCTCCCCGCGTGGTAGAGGTGACGCGACGATTCTTGCAGCTGCCCGCTGCGTCGTCGCAGACGGTTCGACAGCCAGAGCCTGGGGCGCAGACCGAACAGCCCCCCCCCTCTGCGCTACTGTTGCTGACACGCGCCGACATGGATGGGTTCCGCTACGTGACGATATCGGTGGCGCCAAGGGAGGCGCTGGGTTGGGGATCGGGGGGCGGCCAAGTCCCCGCAGTGGTTATGGTTGTGGCGCAGTTTTACGACTTCTCCAAGTCCTCTCTCCCGCGTCCTAGGAGCTGGATCCCGACCTCACATTTGTGGAGAGAGAGAGTGATCAAACTCGATGAAGGAGATCACCCGATGATGTTGAAGATACCATTGTCGGTAGATCCCGCTTGGCTGCCGCTGCGGGTTTCGGCGATGGCGACTTCCTGCGGCGAGGGACCGTTCTGGGCAGAGCAACAGAAAAAGGGGTTGGGGTGGGGAGGAGGAGGAGGAGGAGGAGGAGGGGGCATCGCAAAAGGCATTAGCATCTGCAACAGCCTCTGCTTTCCTCCGCTCAGCGTGGTCTGGAGTGCGTCTTTGCCCGATGAGATCACGTCTCTCAGCCGGCACCAAGGCGTATTGGTGCTCGAATCAAGCTCTTTGATCTGGGGAGGCGGGCCTGTCCGTTCCAGGAGAGGAGTAGGCGGCAGTGGCGGCGATGCCTTCTCCTCCTCGTCATCGGGAGCCACGAGCTCACGCCAAACGCGGGCATCTTCATCCGCCGCCGGGAAGTCCCCCACCGGACCCGCTTCCCTCCTTGTGCTGTTTACCAACCCGTCGTGCCGGTTCGAGGTGCGAATTAGCCCTCTACCGACGATGTCGATCGGGTGGTTGCTTTTGGCACACGCTCCCCATATGGTCGGGATGGCGATCGCGGTCGGGCTGTTTGCGATGAAGTCTCAGGTCCCGTCTTTGGATTTGTCGTCGTCGTCGTCTCCGCCTCAGCTCTCCTTCCCCCCCCGACCGAACCGCTCGCTGATGTTATCCCTAAGGGAGGTTCTCGGATCGTGTCTGCCGGGGGCAAACCTCATGCTGTGGGGATTGCCGACGCTGACGGCGTTCTTGGTGCTCTGGTTGACCAACCAGCCCGTCCCATCTCTGCTCACCTTTGTGAGCGCTGCTTACCTCGCCATGGTGACCGCCTCCGGCGGTGTTGCCATCGTGGCGGTAGCAACCATGTCGATGCTGGAAGCGACCGCGTGGTGCCACGTCAGAGGACGAGCGATCGCGAGGCGGTGCTGCGCCTGGAGCCGATGGGGTGTGCCACGTGTCGGTGGCTGCGTGACCCCCAGCGGAACGGGCAGGTATCGCCGCTTGATTCTGTTGCAGCAAAACATGCAGGCGAAGAGCTTCGTCGCTGTCGCCATGCTCGCCCTGGCTACGAACCTTCTGGTGCATCCCGCCGTCGGTATGTTGATCTTGCTCTGCTGCGAGGTCTGGGATCTCTACTGTTCTTTCTGTAGGCATCGGTTTGCCAGGAGGAGTGATGCAAAGGGAGGAGGCGTTTCGTTCGGGAGCCTGGACCCAGGGTCGGCCAAGAAGGCTGCCGACTCTTACCCTTCGTCGTTTCCTTCGTCTGTCAATTCTTCTTCGAACGCGATGGTCATGCTGAGCTCGGTGGGGATGGGTGAGCATCAGCAGCCCGGGGGGGGCGCGATGGGAGGAGGAGCGCGGCCGAAGAAGAACGGCGATGATGCGGGATCCGTGACTGTGTTCGACATGGGAACCCGCGTGCCGGTCGCGCCGGCGGAATCGGTGGAAGGAGGGGGCGGGGCGCAGTTGCTTTCCATTGGCAGTAGCAATGGCTTGGGAAATCCAGGCATCGGGAAAGGGCGGCAGCTTAAAGGTGGAGCTGGAGTCGTGGGAGGGGCTCTTGCGGCTGTTGGGGACGAGAGAGGGGTGTTAGGCGGAGGGGCTGGAGGGGGAGGAAGTGTAGAGCACGCGGGTGGACTGGCGGGATCCGGGGGCGGGGGAGGGAGTGCGTGGGTGGGTGCGGAAGCAGCGGAAGTGGACAGGGCGCGGCATGTACACGGGCTGGTGGTGGTGCACCTGTTCGTAACAGGGCTGTTGTTTCCGTCCCTCGTGGCGTACATGCAGAGACCGGCGCGCTCGCGCCCGCTCTTGTCGCCGGACTCGATCGTATTCTTACCAATCATCATGCAGGGGTTGATGGCATGCCGAGGGAGCAGCAATGGCAGCAAGGGAGCAGCAGGTAGAAACGAAGGGGGCGGTGTCAGCGCTGTCATCCCCTCGGCGGTATCTCTGTTGCCGATGTGCGGCCGGATCAGTTTGGGAACGGTTTATGGCGCGAGTGGTGTCTTTTGCTACATGTCCGGATGGCTCAGTCTGCATTGGGCATTCTACGCTCTGGCTGCCGTTGGGGTTGCCTCTGTTGTCGCCCGCCTGTTTGGGCGACAAATCCGCAGAACAGAGAGACATGAACATCATCATTAAGGGACATCATCTCCCTTCAATACTGGCCTTTTATCTTCATTCCACGATTTCTGTCTTCCCCGGTCTCCCCTCTCTCTCTCTCTCTCTCTCTCTCTCTCTCTCTCTCTCTCTCTCTCTCTCTCTGTCTCTCTCTCACTTCTCTCTCTCACTTCTCTCTCTCACTTCTCTCTCTCTGTGCTCTTGTCTGTCTGTCTCTCTCGCATTTCACTAGACCCTTCGCTATTTCCGAGTTTGCGAAGCTGTCTGGTTTGTCTCTCTGTGTTAGGGATGAGAAGGTTTGCGACCGCCGACTGAACATAGACCCATTACTGGGCCTCTCGCGGGTGCGATGGCCCTCGTTCTGCCAGGTCGTCGGCACCGGTGCCAGATCTTATACAGAGTATAGCGTCTTCAATCAGATTTCATTGTTGAAGATGTAAGGCAGGAGTCATGGTGGGGTGGCTGGTTAGCTAGTGAGTTGAAGGGTAATGATTTTGCAACTTCTTTTTGTTCTTTAATAGAGGAGTGAGTGCGTATTCAGCCGTTCTGTGTGGGGGGTTGCAGCGATAGAGGCGATCGACCAAGTGCCTTTTTTTCTTGTCAAGCTCGTTTTCATAGCACCATTCTTTCCTTTCCTGTTTTCTGGCATTTGCTAGCATGAGCGGCGATTCCGCATCTTTGTTTCTGCTTCTGGCGCCATCATCTTTTCAACGACCTCTGTGTGTGTGTGTGTGTGTGTGTGTGTGTGTGTGTGTGTGTGTGTGTGTGTGTTTCTTATCCCATTTCTTGAATGTCCTCTTTCACTCACCTTCGCTCATGTCTTGCGCTGCCTTATGGCACGCATTTGTTTGTTTTTCATGCTGGTGATCTGTGATGTTGCCGTTCGTCGGTCCATCTTTCTCACTAATGGAGGGTCACACCTTTTGTACTTTCGTTCTTCGCTCCCTCTTTCCATGTGCGTCCGTCTCTCTGGTGCTTCATGGCAACCTCTTCTTGTAAATGGACGCTCAATCTTGAATGTCCTTACCTTGTGGCCACCCAGTTAAACAAACAGAACGCATCAGCTGGGCACGCCTGTTGCGCTTCGCTGGGAAATCCTACATTCTCTTAGTTCAGTATCTCGAACATGCTGGGCGGCTTCCCCCCCCTTCTATGTTCTGTCGCAGTCCTTCGCCTTTTGTCTTATACTGTTCACCCGGCAATGACCAGTTTTCGATTACAGGTGCACCTGTCTTTTTGTGTGGGTGTGTGGGTGTGTGGGTGTGTGGGTGTGTAGGTGCGCTTGTGTGCAAGAGCGAGCGAGCGAGCGAGCGAGAGAGAGAGAGAGAGATGGCAGCGTAGGACACGACTTTTCATTGTTTTTTGTTGCAGCCTTGGATTATCGGTGGAGGTCAGTGATGATCGGAGTCAGAAGCTCGAGTCCAAACCTCTCCATTTAACTTTTAGATCAAGTGACTACTCTTGGAACTTTGTGTGGGAGGCAACGCCTATTGTCTCAGACAGAGAGGTCGTTGAACGGCTACCGGTAGTTACATGCATTTAAAGATCAGGTGCAGAGGTATAGGAAGTTGGGTACGGTTTGTCCTCGAGCACACGGGAAGAAGGGAGCAATGGACTCACCTATACCCACTGACCTGCTTGATATGGCTCATCACTCCCTGCTTGAGCCAATGCTATTCCGGCCCCCACGTGGAAGGGTGGGTGCTGTAGATCCGAAGTTTGTTAAGGTGGTGATGAGGCGAGAGTAGCAATCGAGGAAATCCTGGTGCTGCATCGGCTGACTTTGGCCTTGCCCGCTTCTGCTTTTATATTGTGGCTATTGATATTCATTGTCTGAATGCCAACGGCTGCTGCCTTCTGCTGTTGCTGTTGCTGGTGCTATTGCTGCAAAATCCTCTCACGGCTGTGGTGCAGCTCTGCTGCTAACTACCAACACTACAGTTTTTTGTTGATGGCGATTATTATGATGATGATGATGATGTCAGTGATGATGCTGGTTTGTATCCGTTTTTGTTTCACTGCATGCTCAAGCCCGTCTCTTCTGGCAGCTCTTTCTGGACAGTAGCCTTGAGTAGCTCAGCTCTGCGCGTGGTTTCCGTTCTGGAAAGCACCCGCTTGAAGAAGCCGAAGGTCAACAAAGCACGTCGCCAAGAGTTCAGAGGGTCCACTTGTCGTCTGCCCCAAGTTAATTCATTGACAGATCTGATTGCGCCGGTCCGGTTGTGTTGCCATCCTCTCCAAATGATTCCCAAAGCGTTCTGGTGAAGAATTTGTTTCATTTTGAGTTTACAGTGTAGTGTACTGTTCTGCAGACGGATGATGAACAATGCAACGGCAATCAAAGTCGAGTGTTTCCATGTGTTTCTGCTCTACGGTAGGCGTGCACGGCCTCAGACGCCGAGAGTTCGGAGGACCTTGAGAGTGCATATTTGCATTGGAACATTTAGTACATAGTGGCACTGGGGCATCTCGCAATGGCATCTGGTTTCAGTCACTGCTGCTTCAGTCAAGCTAGCTCAAAGATGGAGATAGCTACAAGTGCATGTGTGTATGCTGGGTGTACCAGAGACAAGTGTCCTAGAGGGCAGGGTCCACAGTGTAGGAGCATGCAGAAAGTAGAGGGTTGGGGGCTGTTGCACCCTGGCTACCCTGTTCCTTGTTTAAAATATGGATGTTTTCTGATTCTCTCGCCCCCCTCCCCTCCCATACTGTCTTCCCTTTTGTTCATCTTTCTCACCGCCTTAGCTTTTGCCAGTCTTCATTGGAATTGGTGTCCTGGCACGCGGTACTCTGAGATCTATTCTGTACTGTCTTTGCAACCAACACCTTAACAACAGGAGTATGGAGGGAGGAGAGAGGGTTGGGGGCTGTTCCACCCTGGCTACCCTGTTCTATGTTTAAACCACCAGTACTTTCTAAGGTTGGGGCCGTAAACAAGCCACGCTTTTAGGAAATGTACGGGCCACTACAGGAGCGCCCGAATTCATCCGACTAGAAACGTTTCGACTCTATTTTTTTTCCCCCGCAGCTGGTAGCTGGGCCAAGTACTGGTGGTTTAAATAGGGGTGTTTTCTACTCCCGCCTCTGCCACCCCCCACCCTTCTCACTCCCTTTGGCCTGCACCAGTCTCCATTGGAATTAGTGTCCTGGCATGTGGTACTCTGATGAGACCTGTTCTGTACTGTCTTTGCAACGCCTTAACACCAGGTTCCTGACCAGGTTCTGACCAGGGATGAACATCAACCCCGCCTCTTGTGACACAAGAAATGACTGTTCTGCTCCTGGAATTAATTTCAAGACTGCCAACCCTGCTTTTCATCCATGATGTGCCATGCATGAATGTGGAGCGCACATGGCGACAAACATGTTGAAGGTGGTACAAATCCGCGGACGCCTAGACCCCTCTCCATGCGGCACGCGCACCCCTTCTAACACACGTGTAAGCCCGGTGGTGTATCTGCGTTATGCATGTTCAACCACAACACATAGACACCCCCCCCATATGCGCCCACTCCCAAGCCAATTAGCCACAGTATTTGTGTGGGTTCTTCCTGCCCGCATAGCGATCTCAGACGTTGGGGTCAATGCAGCAGAAAACAGAAAGCGGAGCACCGGCTCAAGGGTATGGTGAAGAGTGTTTGTAAAGAGGGGAGAGAGAGGTCGGAGATCATCACTGCACGGTCTCTGTTTCTCTGGTTGTTGTGAACAGCACTGGCTGCTGGACACTACTATGCAAATGGGAGAGCTGTGGTCCTTTCTTCTCGGCTTGTGCAATATTATAAGTGGTGTTTGAGACCGCTGAGGTACATGAGTTTATTTTAGATGGTACATGCAGACGTGTCATAGAGTTATAGACAGACTGGATGTTAGATGGCTTCAGGCAGGCCGCATTGCTGGCATGTCTGCCTGCAGCAAGCGGACTTATCGCAAACGATGAGTGGAGCTGTGTGACTGTAATGAGCAGAGGGGCTAAGGCTGCCTACCCAGAGCAAGGGCACCTACCGTGGCAACAGGTGCGCACAGCTATGTGCGATTGTGTTCTGGTGAGATACGTCTTATGTGAGTTTGATTTGGGTCCTACCCAGAGCAAGGGCACCTACCAGAGGGGGGACTAAGGCTGCCTACCCAGAGCAAGGGAACCCACTCACCCATGGTCCCATGCCCTTCCGAGAGTTTAAGGACCTGGGACCTGGGACCCCTGAGGGGACAAAGGGAACTGTTGTTGCCTGTGTGCGATCGTGTTCTGGTGAGATATATGTCGTATGTCAGCGTGCAGATTTGGGTCTTATGCATGCCATTTCGCGAGATGATACATGGAACAAGCACAGGTGCTAGTTGCACAATACCGTACATCGTTTTCCTGAATAGCGACTGCCTGAGTTCTTTCAGGTGACTGCCTGATTTTTTTATTTTTATTTTTAATAATAATAATAAAAGGAAGACTGGGACATCGTTTTTCTGGCATATGGGTACACTGGCCAGGTTAACTCGTCACTCAGGGAATAGTGTATGCTTAACCAGTTGCAGTCTTTGGGTTGGACAAAGACATGTGACTGCCTGATTTCTAGATGAGCATTGCGGTGGCATGGTTGGCCCTCACCTACCTGTCGTAGGTCCTCGTCTATCTGTCGGAGGTCCTCACCTATCTGTCGTAGGTGTGCAGTTAATGAAAACCACCACTCCCCCTCCGCTAAAAAGTTCGGGGGACCGGTAGCACAAGTTCATGTGGGCGACCGGCAGGCCTCTCAAGAGCAGGGCGGGGTTGGTGAGGCACTGCCTTCTTTGCCTGCCGCAGATTTACGAGAGCACGTTATTGTCGTCGCTTAAGGAGGTAGAGTCAAAGATTAGCCTGACATAAAATACCGTTGTACTCGAGGATGGAAATACTTACGCAGTGGTTCCTGACCCCCAACTGCATTTGGAGATGGGATGAATGCCGCTTGACATGGGTCTCTTTCCGCCCCTCTTCACCTTAGCCTGTCTATCTCGACTGACATGGGACTTTCCTACCCTCTCTCACCTTAGCTCATCTATCTCGACTCTTGGGTAGATGGGTAGTCAGTCTACTGCTGAAAATCTGTTCAGGATGTTCAGGTTGCAGCAGCATTGCGACAGACGAAGAACTTGGGTCTTGAGAAAGGGTCGGTGTTGAACCGTTGCTATGCCTAAATTTTAATTTTGTAGCTCTCTGTTGCCCGCGAGGCTGGACTTGATGAATCTGCGGTGGTATACGGAAGAAACATTGGTCGCAACAAACAACTGCGTCGCTGACAGGCACCACCTGGAGTTCTGATGTGCATTCACTGTCACCAAGCAGTGCAATTGTGATCCAGATGGTTGAATGAAGCCAGCTTTTGCAGGTTATTTTTCGGGGAAATTTTGAAACTCTGAATAAGCCCCGCTTTATTAGTATTTATATTTAATAGTATATTATTGTTATTCTTATAATAGCATGGTTCAAAGGGACACTGCGGACCCAGACGTCCAACTAGATGTTGGGATCAGGGTGTCTGGGTCCCAACCTGTTGGGAAATTTGGATCCGTGAACATGAATGACAGTCAAGGGGGTTCCCAGGGGTTACTGAGAGGGGCTGGAAGGGCCAAATCCAAATTGTATTTATTATATCATAATTTATAATATAAAATAATGTACTGTCAATATCTTTTCTTTTCTTTTTCTGTGTGAGCACCAGCACGTGTCTGTGCCTATTTGTCCAGAGGCGCATTTCAGCAGTGCGCCCAAAAAAGTGAACTGGCATGTTTTTTTTGAACAGATCTGTGTTTATTATTAAATGTCTTGAGCCAGAGGCTGGGGACCTCACAATTCTACCCGGGTTGCTGGAAAACAGGTCCAGCGTCCTATTTGGGTAGCCAATCTGGAAAACAGGTCCAGAGTCCTCAGAAAAGAAGAACAGATCCTGTAGGCTGAACCCGGAAGGATGCCGCATGTGCTGTGTATTGCATCCACGTAAACGTCCTGGCAGTTCGATCTTCATTTCTGTTCAGAATGTGGACGTTTGTCTTGCCATCTGATACAGTTTGTGACGGCCCCTCGTTTGTTGTTCTCTTCTCCCTCTCTGCCTACCGTTTACCAGGCAGTTCTGTTTGACGATATGTACGATTTTTGGAATTTAAAATTTTTAAAAGTAATCCTCCCTTAGTTTTTCCGTGTAGCTCGGACAATTCATCCGGCTGGTCAGCTGTCTGTGCTTGACTGGCTGACGCACATCCTCGATAGTCGGGACGGGCTCTGACATCGGCGTTAGTGAGATATAGCATCATTTTGTGTAAGTCGAGGAAAAAAAAGCACCCTTTTCGAAGAAAGGGCTTTTGAGATGTACAACAGCAACAACAACAACAAAAAAAAAAAAAAAAAAGAGATGTACAACTTTCCAACTGCAGGGCGGGCGCTCAGTTGGTAAGAGGCTAGCAAGTGTCATTTCAGGAGGTTGTGGGTTCAATCCCAATTGGCCTCGTGTACCTTCCTGGGCATGCTTGGCGCCCGCCACCTAGAGATAGACCACTGGATCCCCTGATCGGCAGTGAGCAGAGTCTGCTGATGTTCGTAGGGGAGGGGACCACCACCTGAGGGGAGGCACAGGAATTGGTCATGTTGGCATGGTCCCTGATGCTACCGGCTGTCCTCTGGCCGGTATCGCCCACCTGCAGGTCGAGAGCAGCCCCCGTATGTTCCTTTGTGATCACGCTCTGGCCGCTACGGGGTTCCCCATATGACTATAATTAGGAGTAGTTGTAGGTAGGTAGTGTGAGGTGAAATTGAGAGATGAAAGTAGCTTACTTTTTCAGAAAAAACAAAACAAAACAAAAAAAAGGGGTTAAACTACCCGTACTTCCGAGGCACTTTTCTCCTATGCTGGAAAAGTAGTGCGCACTTCTCTCCTCTGGTGGAAAAGTAGTGCACACTTTTCTCCTATGCTGGAAAAGTAGCATGCACTTTTTGCCTATGCTGGAAAAATAGTGCACGCCAAGCTCTGCCAACCCGAGGGACTTTTGCCTTCTTCGTTTGCCTGGCACCACCAGCCATTGTGGTCCCGTACGCCTTAAGCCGCCGCGTATATAACGAGGGCCCACAGCCAATGTATGGGCCAAGTGTTGGCGGTGTAAAGGGGTCTGGGGCACCGACAGAAATTCATTCTAGTGGAAACAGTCGGTACTTCCAGAAGTAGTGGCCACATAAGAAATTCATTCTAGTGGAAACAGTCGGTACTTCCAGAAGTAGTGGCCACATGCGCGTTGTGACGTGCCGGGATAAACGGGCCTGGGGCACTGGCACAAATTCACTCGATTGGAAACGTTGTGGCACTGTGGCAATGGCTGGCTGCATGCACACCGTGACCTGTGCAAGTACTGCTGGTTTAAAATGCCCCGACCCATAACTTTATTGACGGCAAACTGCCCGGCTGTGCTGATTGTAATTTGTTGGCGAAGGGGTTATGCACAGTTCCATGGGCCTGTACCAGGATTTCTTCCGAAATATATTTTTTTTCATTTTTTTGGACACAGTCCCAAGGATTTGTTTCCAGAAGGATGTTTTTTTGTGGCACACCCGCTATCAAGCCCATCGAAGAGAGTGGGTAATGAACCACATCAAAAATACTATGCCCATGCAAACGAGATCATGGAGAGCATCAGATTAGATTTCGTGGAAAGTAGTTAGAAAAGTGAAGGAGCTCTTCCTTCTCTTTCGTTCTCTTTTCTTTCTTTCCTGTTTCCCTCCAACAGACTACTTAAGCATCAGCTGTGGCCACTCAGTTAAAGTCTAATTATCCATTATCCTCGACTAGGCAATGGGGGAGGGAGGGCCCTAATGGTCCTAATGCCAGGGAGCCCAGTGCCCCCCGGGCCCAAGGCGTTGGCCCGCCTCCCGGCCATCCTTGTCCCTGCTCAGTTAATACCGTGAGACCCACGGTAATAAATGCTTTCCAGCAG